TCTGCTCCATCCCTCCGGAAAACTCAATCTCCGAGGAGTCAAGGGTTCTTCTCTCTTTAATAACAGCTAAACACATCAACAGTGCTCCTCAAAATGCCCCCCCAGCAGTCAGGAACAAACTAAGAGATGGAAGGCTAATGAAAAGAGGTTTAATAGAAGAGCGCGGCAAAGGTAGCTCAGAGGCTTGCTGCTGTTTAATTCAATGGGATGCTCCTGTTGCCTGAAGACTAGGCCCATTTTAATTGCACTCTTCTTTCATTTATAAAAAAAAGGCAGTATGCAGCGATACAGCTTTAATGAATGTGAAGGAAAGGCAGGCTATTCAGTGTCTTTCCCTCAGACACATTGAAGGATAATATGATTGTGCTGGTTAGGCCCACATATTTTAGCAGGTTACTGTTGCCAGTTACACAAAAACACACACACATAAACATGAATGAATTTAGGTCTTTTGGTAGGAAAGAAAACCGCAGAAACACAAAGAAAAAGTGAAAGAGAACCCAAAAAAAAGGAAGAATAAAGGATAAAAGCTCAGCCATCTGTGTCATCTGCTCCATCCTTCTCCCATCTATTCTGTGATTTCATCAATAGTTCCATCATGACCATAGTCGTTTATCAATAACTCTATATAGACTCAATCAATAATCTCATCATTGACTTCATCAAAGCTCAACCTATCAGTCTTCCATGAATCAATGCAACAACGTTACTGACAAAAATGATTATCAGCATCACATCACCACTGTTTTGGTTGTTTCAACAAATAAAATGAACCACCATCACACCCCTTTTCATCACCATCAAAACAATCAGCTTTGTGTAGTGATGGTACACTTGAGGACTGTTCTGTGATGCAGGATTTGAGGTTATGAAGGTGACTCAGAGTTTAAAACTGGACTTTTATAGCTAAGTTGATGCAAATTGAAGAAATTTTTAGTCCTATTGTTTTACAGTAATTACAGGGGTAATTGCCATGGTAGCTTATAATGGATATCTAAGATCAACCACCCGCTGACCAATCAGCTCTCAATCTGAGCTTGTTGTATTACAGTTTTTCTCAGTCGCTTTGGTACATTTCTCAGATCAGAACTGAAATTCTCAAAACTACTTGTTCAATCTTGACATCATTGTGTCACTTGTGCACATCAGAAAAGCAGTTTCTCATTTCTTTGAACAAGTTGCAAATACTTTGCTCACATCCATGCAAATGATTATGTACAATTCTCTGCTGTTTCCTACATTATCAATTGCTTTTGTCATGTTGATCAAAATGAATTATAATGGATCTCCGTTGAATAGTCTCATCCCCCACAACATTTAGGCATTAGTTCATCGCATAAGTCTTTACATGCAAAATGGTTGAACAAGTTGTCATATGTCAAGCATATTTCTATACATTTCCATTAGACTTTTTTTCTAAAGCTGTCCTGAATTGGTAAATTGCTCCCAGGTGAATCTTGACTTTCTCTAACGAAGGGAAATGTGTGAAGCATTAGATCAACCAATGATCAACCAGTTTTCTGAAATAGCTCAAAGGTGCATCTCATGAACCATCAACTGGCAAGTATATATATATATATATATATATATATATAGCACAACACAATGTTACAATGTCTGACAATGGAAGGACAAGGAATTGGACGGGGTCGACAGCCAGAGAGAAGAAGAAGAGGAAGAGGAGTGAGGCTGCGTGGCGGAGGAGCTGGGAGGCAAAACAGAGGAAGAGGCAGAAGAGGCCGAGGACATATGCACGTTCCTGATGAGATAAGAGCCACACTTGTAGACCACGTTCTCAATCATGGGCTTACAATGGCCGAGGCTGGTCGAAGGGTGCAGCCAAATGTTGGAAGAACAACTGTGTCCTCAATCATTCAGACTTACAAGTTACAGGTATCTAATCTAACAATAGGCACTGTACTGTAATACTGTATACTTTCTGTAATGCTTCATACAATATTATAGTATTCCACTTGCATTTTACAATATACAGTAAGTATACTTACAGTGACATTTTATCTTACTCAATTTTGTGTTTTGCATTACTATAATTTTTCCACATAGGACTGCAAGACAACTTCACAGGGGTGGCAGAGGGCCCCTTTTCACACCTGAACAGGAGGAGGCTATTTGCACCATGGTTGTAGAAAACAATGCCATAAGACTAAGGGAGATAAAGAGTGCCATTATAGAGGACAACAACATCTTTGAAAACATCCAAACAGTCAGCATCTCAACCATTGACAGGGTGCTGAAAAGACACCAAATGAATATGAAGCAGCTGTACACTGTTCCATTTGAAAGAAATGGTGAAGGAGCTGCACTACCAGTATGTACAGGTAAAACATGTTTGAGCATGCAGTAACTGTATCTCACAGTAAACAGTACATCGTATAGTGATATACAGTACAGTAAGTGTGACCTTTACACATTTGCTATGGTTGTAGAAAAGAAGATGCAATATGTGCTGTATACATTTGATGTAACTGTATCTTGTCCAAAATGAAAATGCATGTAATTCATAAAACTTATTTTGTGTCTTCTGGATATAGCGTATAATGGAACTGTAAGCAAGTGAACCACCACACAACTTCATCTACATGGATGAAGCTGGCTTCAACCTAACGAAACGCACAAGGCATGGTCGAAATATCATTGGCCACAGAGCTACAGTTGATGTGCCAGGCCAACGGGGCAGGAACATAACCATGGGTGCTGCTATCTCTGAGAATGGTGTGCTAACGCATATTCCCATTATTGGGCAATACAATACAGAGCGTCTTGTCACCTTTGTAGACATTCTCTACAGGGATCTAATCCCTGAACGAGAGAGGGGTCAGATTGGAGATGACTTGCCAAAGTATGTGATAGTTTGGGACAATGTCAGTTTCCATCGCTCCAACATCATCAGGCAATGGTTTGTGACCCACAACAGGATGCTGATGGAGTTCCTCTCCCCCTACTCCCCATTCCTTAACCCCATTTGCTGAGGAATTTTTCTCAGCATGGAGATGGAAAGTATATGATCGCCAGCCACATACACAGATGACCCTTCTGGCTGCCATGGATGCAGCGTGTGATGACATCACAGCAGATGTCTGCAGAGGCTGGATAAAACACTCTAAAAGATTCTTTCCACGCTGCATTGCAAGGGAAGATATTTGTTGTGATGTGGATGAGAATTTGTGGCCCAACAGACAGGAACGTCAGGAGGTGTAGGAAGACTGCACTGTAATTCCTACAGCACTGCATGTACAGTTTTCTCTAAGGAGAGTGTCCTATGTTCACATTTCTACTTTTGTTTTTTTCTTTGTGCTATGCAGTGCTGTCTTTTCCTTTCTGTATCGCAATGACATGGTCTGTCAACAAATTACAGTAAAAGCGTAAATGTGAATCTTGTCCAGTCTCTTGCAATCAATCTCCCACATACACTAAGGTGTAACTTACAATTTACAATAATTGTCATAAGAATTTTAGCCATAGTTTGTATCAGAACACCCCTCCAGAGGACACTGTTATATCAACAACATGACTAAGCAATTTGACTGTCTTATCCGTACACAATGACACGAGGACTTGTCATTCTGATGGCTCTGACATGTTCATTGACACAGATATTTACTTTTGAGATATGAACTAAGGATTTTGAGCAAGAGACTGGCTTTTGCAGGTAATCCATGGTGTTTTGCTATTTGTACGAATTGTTTTGAGAAATGCACTTACAGTTTTGCAAATGTCGAGGATGATTCGAGAAATGTACCAAAGCGACTGAGAAAAACTGTAATAAAAAATCAAAGGATCCCCAGGCAACAAGTTATACCGACACAACATGGGAGGTTTTTTTTTTCCATTTTTATTATTGAATTTTCTCCAAAGTCAGTTCGACATTGCAGGGTTGTATTCAGAAACAAAACATTACCGGCTAATGGGTCTAAAGTTTGCTGAAATAACATCATAGACTGTAGAAAACATTGACATCCCCCATTGGTTACTGAAGGGGAATTTTGAAGCCTCATCCTAACTTTCCATCAACCTAGTAACAGGCAAAATGATTGGAGTAGAAGCAGGCTCTGATCCTCCAAGCAAACTGCTCTAATGCACCAACTTGCAGTCATATGAAACAACTTCTAAAACATAACTTTTAACATTCATAAAATCATTTTAACAAATTGTTTTACAGTGTGTGCTGATAAAGACATGAGCTATTCAGACCAACACTGTTGCTTTACCGGTCTGTAAACATGTTTATTTCTTCTGTCAAAATTGAGCATTTTAATATGCGGTGTGTATGTGACTTCCAGGGCTTTGGGAGGCAGCCTCAAGTGGAGAAGAAACAACTTTAAGAATGTTCTTTCTTGAATGGTGGGATTGGTAATTTATGATACATTCCAGGAAGTCTGGAAATATGAACACTGATTGGCTTTAATGACGCAGCATCGAGCAGATTTGCCGCTTAACTTGAAGTATTTTATGCAGAACGGATGGTTAGCTGCACTTACATAGAGATATCTGTTCATATACAAAAATAAATCATCAGATTACTGCTGATGGGAGCCGGGATGTCCCTGGAATGATCCCTGTCTGCTCTCCCAACTGGCTGTTTTTCCTGCATACACTAAAGCCTGCTGAATTGTGATTGGTCTATATTACTCGGACTGCAAACGAACTACAAACAAACTACAAACAGAAACCTGAATATTTCCTAAACTAAAATCCATACCCCTGCGTACAAATCCTTAATTTCTATGAATAATGCGAGAATAGAGCTTATTCAAGCTTGAAGAAGAAATTGTATCATATGCCTGAATTTATGCACTTAGCATAGCATTGGATTTTTAGTCATCTATCATTTGCAGCTTTCTTGCTTTAAGCTTAACTACTGCTATCCAGATGTAAAAGACTCTTTGCTGCAAGTAGACTTGTTTATTTTTTTGCAATAAGTCAAATGCTGCAAAGCAAACACTGATAATTTTTGATGGCTTGATCCAAACAGTCTGGGTTTATTTATCAGGTTGATAGTCACTGTGTGTGTGATGGTGGATGTGAAACCAGATATCTAAATGATCTCCTATTTTAGTTGAAGACCCTTCTTTGTCCAGGGCCTCCTGGTGCCACACAACACCACAAGAACACATAAATAACAACACGTGAAGCAGAGCAGAGAGTGAAGGGTCGGGGTGAGGCTTACCTTTGCCATCTGTGCCTGGACTCCACTGGCTTTGAGCGAGGCCACAGCCTTCTGCGCTGCTGCAGGGCTGTCAAAGTCCACAAAGCCATAGCCTGTGCATACACAAACACCAAGAAGAAGAGGGTGATGAGAAGGACATTTATTGGGAGAATAAAAGTATAAAAAAGCAATAAAGGAAAATAACATCATCACATTATACTGTTCTGAATTTTATCAAGCCAAACCAACCTGTGTTTTGTTTCCAACACTGCATTAATCCTCTAAATGTGTCAAAATCTAGTCAGGGCACGTATCTTATAAAGGCTGCTATTTCCTCCATGAAATGTGTTTTAGCACAGAGCATCAACAGAATTGGTGTCATAACAGTAACTCTTGTCGTTGTGTTTACGATCCAAACATCCTTAAATGACTAGACAAGTTTTTGTGTGCTTTGGCTCTTTGAATGGAATCATGTCTTTGCCCTGTAATGTCTAATGTGTTGCAGTGCTGCTTTTATATCTACTCGTAAAATGAACACATATTCTGAACCAAATGGGCCTCAATACTGAAAGACTTGTCCACATGTTAAATGTGCTGCAGTTGGATTGTCAGATATTTAATTTCCCTCTGCATTGCCTTTGATCTAGAGTTGTCCTTATGCTACACTAAATCTGTCAGTGCATGCACAGCTTCCATAGTAGAGGTCAATATTATAAGTCTCTGCCTCCGCAAGTGACATCAAGAAAAATTGTCTGCATTTAATGTAGCTATTAAAGTGATAGAGAGGCTTGTTTAAAGAAATAAAACCGCTAAGAGAATGGGCATCAATCGATTTTATTGTGAAAAGGTCCACATCATTTTGTGTGTCTCTGTGTGTTCATGTGTCAAATTGCTGACGTTTCCTTGATGTTGGTCGAGCCATATACGGTAGAGAGCCCTGTTTTACTGGGTCACACAGAGAGAGAAACAGTTTGTCTGTTGTGTGAGTGACACTTTGCGTACAACCGTGTGTGGTAAATGTGTACAAAAATGAGAGCTGTGAGTTAATGTGAGAGACAAATGAACGAGAGAAATGAACCCACATGCAATGAGAAAGAGAAAAATAATTGTTCTCACAGCACAGCAGCTTTGAGGTTGCAGCTGCAGTTTTCAACGCGCTTGCTTGTTAACACAATTAAATGATCCACATTTCAAAAGCCACACTCATCGCAATCAAAATTGTAAACATGTAAAGAGAGAGAGAACACACATCTCTCCATCTCTCTCTCCATTTATCTCTTGCTCACTCACACACTCTTCTTTCCCAACATCTGCTCTTGTCTGTTTGTATTTTCCAGGATTTGGAGCCTCACTCGGTTTTGACGATAAGCAGTAGATTTTTTTACATTGTTCAAAGGCATCAAGCTGCTTTCACAACAAGATATGTTCAGCACAAACAAATATTTATACTGCTGCTAATGAGAAAGCCATCATTTAGCCAAAATAGGATGCAACACACACACACACACACACACACACACACACACACACACACACACACACACACACACACACACACACACACACACACACACACACACACACACACACACACACACACACACATTTTGGCTGCAATATACGTAAACATAAAAAGTGCATAATTTTGACCAACACAGATCAACACAAGCATGCAAGCAAAAACATCTGCAAGCATGCATACACAGGCTTTCACAGTTTTTAATCTGTATTGATCTACTAATGGCCACTCCAAATCAGCCAGTTTAATTGAAAACATATAAATGTACAGTATTCATTATGTGAATTGTATTCAGTGGCAGCCTGGCAGGATGTGTGCATTTTTTTCAGGAAGGTTGGAAAAAGTTACTTTTATAGTTTAAACCAAAATTAACTTGACAAAATGTTATTTAGTCACAACAAGTCCAAAACAGAGAACTATTGTTTGATTGCATTAATTCAACACTATTATACTAGATGTGAAACAATGCAGCAGTATCAGTGAAGCTGCTGTTTTATTGAACATCAAAGTAAGTTTATTCCTACAAAGGCATATAATTTAAAAATAAACTGTATAGATCATTTAGTTGCTCCAGAGAAGGAGAGCTGATACGTCACATTAAGTGATGTCACTTGAGCCGTTGGGGAAGACAGCATGTTTAGAAATGTAAAAAATATCGAGGTGTGAACTTAAAAGGAAATGAGTTTGGACCTCTTTTCCTGGCTCAGCATCTCTCCCTCAAGACTCCAACTAAACACAGCCATATATATGAGAATTAAATGTTTGAAATATTTTACAATTTTGTAAAGTATGTTTCAAACTAAAATATATCTTCTGTTCAGTGAAGATCAGGATGGACTGAATCACTGAGATAAAAAATAATCATCGAAATTCATTTGTGTTTAACTCCTTTTTCCACCTTTGTTTGTTTGTAGAGGCAAAATGATGCTGATGTTTCTAAGAAGAAATTTAACATTATGGCATAGCAAATCTTATAGTGATGGTAGGCTATGACTTTTCCTCAACCTTAAACTGCAGTTATTTCTTACTCCTTTATTCCTTTACAGCACACTAGTCTCATATTTTCTAAGAGAAGCAGAATTTGATGATTTGTAATGCGTTTTTTTCAATCTGCTATATGATCAAGAGCCAATTCTTGGAGTTGAAGCTGCTCTTTTTTAACAGTAATTCACTGCCAGTATTACCTATTATTGCAGTTTTACAGAACCAGTAAATCAAATTCATGTCTCAGTAGCCTTGGACATGATCTCTCAATAAAAAAATCCAGTTGTTGAAGATGTTGGCATTCAATCTAGTTTTTCCTAAACTCCTTTTAGTAAGTCCCTACATATAAAGTTATCAGATAGGGCTTTCACACTTGCAGACAACTCCTGAAAAACTCCTGATATTTCCAGGAGGAGATGTATGTCTGAACGCAAACGGCCAAACTTTTTGAAAATCCAGGTGGCGGTAATGCTTGAAACTGATTGCTGACCACTATCAATCAAGAAATTCACAAGAAGCAGACGCAACAGAACAAAAGAAGAAGAGTAATATACTGTCGCTCTTACGGTAGTTCTCAACAACACTGGACGGAAAAAAACTGTAACTTGAAATTGCAACACAACAAGATATACTATGTTCTAAATAAATTAGAGGGGGAAAAAAATGCATTATTGCTTTTTCCCAATATGATGACCTTGCACTGAACCATGACCCCAAAACCGAGGTACATACTGAAACATGACGCCCTTAATGTCTCCATTAAATCTCATGTGGATGGAAGTGATGGCTCTTATCCACACATGGATATGGATATTTCCAGAGAACAGAAGAGTGAAAATAATATTTCTGAATGATATAATCCCTCTCATTTGTGCTCTGTCCCTCACATCTTCGGCCTTATGATGACACACCGTTGAAATTTAATCTCGTTCAGTCAGGCCTGACAAATATTCCACTCTCAAATGGAAAAAAAAAACAACATTTATTACACAGTGCACACACACACACACACACACACACACACACACACACACACACACACACACACACACACACACACACACACGTGAATACTCACTCATATCGGGCTCACGGACACAGATGGAAGCACAGATAAACATGAGCACACAGAGACGCACACACATCCCTAGCTCCCATCTAATCTCCTGAGCTCCCAGAGTTCCTGGCCTTGGGCCATCAGAATTGGCTAACAGAGTAGAGGAGGAAAAGCAGAGAGACAGAGCAGAGGGGGGGGAGAGTCAGGGGGAGAGAGGAAGAATGGCAGGCAGAAAGAGAAAGAGAGAGAGAGAGTAAGAATGAGATGAGCGAGCAAAGAGAGAGGGTGGTGGATAAAAAGGCAGGAGACGTGGAGCAGGCAAGAGGGAGGGCGCTTGTCTTTGGGAAATGGAAATCCTTTACAATCTAAAGTGGTTTCCTCTCCCTTCCTTCCTCCCTCCTGTGCTCTGTGCCCTCTCCCTCCCCCGGAGCTCCCACGCTGCTAACAAGAAAACTGTCAGTGTGTTTAACATTGAGCCCGCTGCAGAGATGAGGACTCCACAAAGAAAATCATGATGTTATCACAGAGATCAAAGCAAAAGGTATGCTTTTTTTTCCCAGTGAAATAACTTCATTACATAGTATTTCTGCAAGGACTGTGTTTTATACAGCTACCGCTTTAATGTATATAAGCCCCAGATAGAAATATAAACAAATACGACAAATAAGAAAAGAAGCATTCAGGATTTATTTTAGTGAGATTCTAAAACAGCACCAAGAACCATCACAGAACTTGGGTTCAAAAGGTGAGACACGACAACATCAGTAAAAAAAAACTTACGGAACACTCTCCCTGCACACTCCAACAAAGCAGGAAGATTTATTTATCTACCTGTCTCTTTGTCTAGATCTCTCTTTTCTCTCTGCAAAAACCTTCCTAAAAAGAAGAGGCTGTCTGCAAAATCATCACTTTCATAAGGTCTCCTTCCTTTTTCTGTCAGCCCTAGGTTATTTTTACACCCACCCTCCCAACACCCCTTGATGCTGTCTCCTCCCTCCCGTCCATCCCTCCCTCCCTACCGCCCTTTTCAGGAGAACTCTCTTTTCCAATTTGTACTCTCTTAGTCATGCCAAGCACTTATCTTGTCCCTGCTGACTGCCTCTGCAATCAAACCCACACTTATCCGGTTGTAAGGCATTCTAATGGTCGACTGATAATGAAAATCCTTCAATGTGAGTTAACAACTGGCTAAGAGGTGTATGAAGTCTGCATCACCCGCACTGAAAATGCTGACACAGACGCAGCCGGTGAAAAAACGCTCATGCAGCAACAGCTGCAGTTGCTACATTCTGTGCATTAAATAAAGAGCATAAATCTAAAGCTGGACTGCATGCAGTTTGCATTTTCAAACCGTCACTCTGAGGTTTAGTATTCATAAAAGCCTTGCCTGGAATGTATTCTGTATTTACTATAATGCAATTTGGTGCAATGAATGGCCCTGCTATCCACTTGCAAACACACATTTTTGTCTTGACTCACAAACACAGAGGCTCTTACACAAAAAATAAATAAATAAACAAAAGGAAAAAAAAGTGTTTACTCAATTCTGTGTAAATTATGCAGATAACTAGAGTCACATGTATCTGTATCTCTGTGATAAGATTACAGTTTTGGCAAGAGAAACTGAAATAAAGACACAAAAGAAAAAAATTAACTAATTCGTTCTACTTATAAAATGTGCTTTCATCCCTCTGCGTGTGTTTGCAGCCAGTAAAAAAAAACATCTGATGATGTTCTGACTTTTACTTGTCGATATTACTTTTTTGTGCCTCCTTAGCAATATTAACAACTTTGGTCAATGCAAATGTTTTACCCTGTCTGCAGATTATTCACTCCTACTCAAGATGTCTTAAGAGACAGGTCACAATAAATAGCTCTGTTTCTAATAGTTTGAAGCTGATGGTTCCAGTCAGCATCAGGGGGCTGCTGCTGGTGCTCAGCAGTGGAATCAGTCATCTCTCAACCGGAAGATTGGGGGTTTGATCCCCAGCTGCTCAAGTCACAAGTCCTTGGGCAATAAACTGAACCAGCGGCATGTGAATGTGTGCAAATAAAAAAGTACTATTGGGCAGTAGCAGCCTCTGTCATCAGTGTGTGAATGAGACACATAGTATTTAAGCTTCGAGTGTTCAGATACCTCAAAAAGTGCTATACAAGTCCATTTCCATCAGGAACAAGTCCATTTGAAAAAACAGGAGTAAATGTGTATTTATTGAAGACTACTTCAATATAAATGCATGTCCCATTCTCTTCTGGGTATTAATGAAAGGATGATTATGTAGGACAAGAACGAAATAACCACAGTAGCCAGAGTCACTAGTAATTCAAAATTATAAAGAGGCATGTGTGTGACCCAGTGCAGCAGTGTGTCTCATTGAGCTGCTTAGGGGCATTAAAGGAGCTCTCTTAAGACCAGTGGCAAAGGCTGAATCATACTTTGGCTTCAATACTTGAATAGGATAAAGACATTAGTGATCGTTTATGGATATATATATATACAGATTACAGCTGTGTTTATGCAAACTTTAGAAGCAATGCCCAATGTGATTTTGGATTTGGAACATTATTTCCATTTGAGAATCATCCTGAAAAAAAAATGTATAAAGCCACAATTGGGACGGCTGTGGTTCAGTGTTAGAGTCGTTCATCTCTCAACCAAAAGGTCGGGGGTTCAATCCCCAGCTCCTGCAGCCGCATGTCAGATGTATTCTTGGGCAAGACACTTTACACCAAGGTGCTTTGTTGGCGGCATATGAATGTGTAATAATTGATTAATTAATACTGATAGACACTTAACATAGCAGCCTCTGTGATCAGTGTGTAAATGGGTATGAATGGGTTTATTTGATGTAAAAGCGCTTTGAGTAGCCAGCAGACTAGAAAAGCGCTAAACAAGCTCAAGTCCATTTACACGGTGCAAACATAACGACTTGATTCAAATAAATACATAGGCTGTTTATAAAACTGTAACATCTATAAAATAATGAGATGATTTCAAAACATATTCAACAGAAGAGAAACTTATAGTTATAATTGGCTTTATAGAATTTTCTGACCAGTATTTGGCCATGTTGTAAAAAACATCAAGGCATGCATATTAATGTGTTTTCAGGTGTGTTTTGTTATAGAATTCAAAAACAGGTCTTGTATTCATAATGTTTTATTTATTTTATTTGATACTGCTGCTCCAGATAAATTATACAAGCTGATATGTAAAAGAGTGCTCAGTGGAGACTCTTGGGGTTTGGTTTTTCTTAATAATGATGTGACAGGCAGGAATTATTTGCTAGTTATTCTGATCACAGCAGATGAAGTCATTGAAAATTTGCACTAAGATCCCTGCCTTTGTCATGAATCTGACTTCATTTTTTTTAGCCTTCATACGATTGACTCTGACTGACTGATTACTGGGTGTTTTTGCTGTTGTCCTGAAGCATGTCAGCATACCTTTGAGTGCAGTCTCGGCAGATGAGTAGCAATCACTCTGAACACATGCTCTTGCGTGCCTCTTCAGACGACTACAATCATATTGATTAGTGCTTTGTTCCGACCACTCCAACAATCAAGCAGACCCTCATCAGAAGACACTTGAGTGCACCTCATTCACCACAGAGATGATTTGAAACACATTGTGTGTATTAGATGGTGTTCTCTGTTTTGATTTCACTGATGACAACAACGTGAACATGTTGCTTTCAAAAGCTGCTCAACGGCAAGTGTCATAAGGGTGTAATCCTCAAATCATCTTTGGAGAGAAGGAAAAAAAAAAAGGTTCTCTAACATAATTTGGATAGTTTGGAGAATGTCAGATCATTATATAAATAGCTTGCGATGATAGCGTTAAAACACAGACCCTTACTGCAAAATCAACAAACTACTCTAGGGAAAACAAATGGACTGTAGTGCAAAGGCACATCACATTACATCACATGGCTTGCACAAGTATGTCCTGTATTTCTGTGATTGGCATGGTTTGTTGACTGACATGTCAGCACATTGTGAAAAATATGTTGGCATCGGTAAATTGGAAATACCAAAAAAGGAACCAAAACCCCTCCCCATCATGAACTGATTGGTCTGTCTGTAAATTGCCAAGTTTCCTAAACTCTTAACAGATGTTTTTCTAAATTTAAACCTCATCAAAATGTCATCAGGAGAAGTTTTCAGTGACTTTGCATTAACCACACTACAAATTCAAATGGATTCCAACTTACCTTTACATTGATTGGTGTTCTTATCCAGGATGGCCTTTGTTGATACAATCTTCCCATACCTGCAAAAACAACAATAAAACAACAATGACATATTTTAATGGCCGTTGATTCAGTCTTGCTATTTTAACACTTGATGCATTACTGGCAGTTTGAATTAATCAAACTTTTTGTCTTGCATGATTTTGTATGGCTCCTTGTTGGCAATGATCTGTCAGTTGGGTATTCTCTGCTCAACCCTTTTTGTCCAGACTGAAAAGTGAAAACAACTAATGTAAACAAATATTGTAAACATTTATGATCCTCTTGGCACGAAGCCTCACAGTGTTGTTTTTTGTAAGTTTTTGGGCCTTTTTGCCCTTATTGGATAGGACAGCTGAAGAGACAGGAAATCTTGGATGGGCCGAGATCAGATTCGAGCCCACGGCCATTGGGATGAGGACTATTATAGCCTCAATACATGGGGCGCGCAACAAAACCGCGAGGCGTTCAGGCACCCCAAGCTTCATGTTTTTGTCATGCCCTGACTTTAAATTTAGTGCCATCATTAAGTTCACATTTGATGATTTAAGGGAAAAGTCTCAACTAGAGGATGGATTGTTTTGCACTTTGGTACAAACACCCATGTTTTCTAGATGCATGATTCATGATCTAACATAATTATCAGGTATCAAGACAGGCTAGTCACATGAGCCTGACCTTAAAACTTTACACAATTCCATTAGCACCTGCTTTGATTTGTGTTAAAAGCTATTTAGCAAATGTTAGCGTGCCACAATGCTCCACTGAGATTCTCAGTACATCAATAATAATTCCTTCGTAATATCAGCAAGATAGGATTATTATAGTGAGAAAGTTTCTAAACTAGCATTAATACTCAGCTCAATAGTAGACTGTGCTTCAGCTGAAAGAAGAAGAATTCATGGAATATCACCTCAACGGAGCATGGAACTTGTGGTTCACATCAAATCATAGTTTTTAGTAAAGGATCAGCTCTTTTTGAATGAAGACAACGGTCACATTTAGTGATCAATCACAGGTTCACATGGATGTCAAACAAATGGTTTTGTTGAGTGCAAACAGCAGCAGCACTTACACCGTAAAGATGTGTCATGATGATAATGTAGGAAAACTTTAATTGGTAGATTAAATGAAACAAAGTTTGACAACAGAACAGTTTCTCAGGGTGTCTTCAGGATACTTCAAACTTCTATCAAACTTGCAACCATCCATTCTGTCGATACACACCTGAAATCCCACCCTGAGGTCTCAGAACTCAGATAATACTGTCCCTTAAATTACGACAATAACCAGACTGCAGCACCCAATCCAGCTTATAGGTGCTATAAAATAGAAGGACAACCTTAATACCTCTTTCTACCTGTTCACTCTGCCAACTCTTGCCTCGTCTATTTTATTGCTTTAGTCTCTTTGTGCTCGTTCGATACCTTTGCCTCTATCTTGGTGTTTTTGTCCCTTATTTCCACCTCTGTCCCATTTTTACTCTAGAGCTATCAGAAAGAACTGAATAATGTTTTTATGAGTCTAGTCTGAAAAGAGTGCTGCAAGAAACAGACAGGAAACTGAGAAATAGGCTGAGAAGGGAAAACAAGGACAGAGAGGACGAGAGAGGGAGAAACTCAGTCAGAAATCTTGGACGGCCGGGATCAGCCTGGATTCCTGCCTGGATCTATGGATGAGACTTTTTTTAATTAATGTTTTAACACTGCTGCACAGTGACTGACTGGATGGCTGAGTGACTATCAAACAGATTGACAGACTGACAAGCTTGCTAGCGGACTGGCTGACAGCCACAGGTGCGAGATGGACATTTATTCACTCTTTCTTTCAAGAGAAAAAAAAACAGGAGACAACAAGGAGGGAGACAGAAATGATAAAGATGCTAGGTGGAAGATACAGTGTGGGAGTCTGCGAGCAGAGAGGGTGACAAAAACGTAGGGGGTGGGGGGGGGAGGAGAGGAAGAGAGGCTCCGAGGAATGAGGAATAGACGAGGAGAGGGAGAGCAGTCAGTCAAAAGATAAAAAGAGACACCAAAGGCGAGGAGGAAGCTTGGTAGTCAGGGAGCGATGGAGAGATAGTAAGAGGTGTTTAATAAAGAAGAGATCATTTAGCTGTCACCATCAGGAGAGTCTCTGTCAGCCAACTGCTTCTGTCAGCGTCGAGAAGAGAAGAGAGACTCGCCCGCCTGACAGCCTCATGCACCAAACTCTATTGGGACAGGAGTCTTAAGAAAGAAAGACGTTTAAAAAAAAAAAGCCTTTCAAAGGCCGCTATCACATATAACACGACAGCCTAGTAGCTTATGATCTCCAAATTGGTTGCAAGAGAAAATCACCACTTCTACGTTACGCTCAATTTTCACATATTTTCCTGCGATTTCAGATATTTTGAAGGGCATTTACATATGCAGTGATTGCGACAGGCTAGAATCAAAGTGAATTTTCACAGGGTGTTTTTTTTCTTTTTCTAAGAAGTCACGGCTGGTGAGTAAACAAGGTCTTTGGCCCCGCGGTTTGAGGAGGAATCCAACCACTGCAGATGTAGAAAACACTCATAAACGCGCGGGACTAATCGCCCACACACAAAGACAAACACATATGCAGACACACACGCAAAGCAACATCACAGACCGAAAAAAAACACCAAAGCAGTAATCATACACATTAGACGCACCATCTGGCAATACGCAACTCTTTGTTGACTTCTGCCTCTGTGTTATGTGTGTGTGTGTGTGTGTGTGTGTGTGAGTGGAAACAGCTACAATATGTGTGTAATCGAATGTGCCTGGACATATCCGAGCGTACAAATACTTGTGTGGGTGTGATTCCTAACAAATACGTGTTCTTGTATGTTGTTTTTGTTTGTGGAGTAAGCACGCATGCATGACAAAGATCTCATGCACCATCAATGTTTTGGCAAGTTGTTTTTCCCGGCATGAAAAGTCAAACATCTCCAGACTGTTTGTTCGTTTTATGAAAAAGAACGAGAAAGGGGCTGAGAGTGAGACCAGAGAGTGCTCTACCTGGATGACACATAACCAACTGTGAAAAAATATCTTTCACAGTTGCCTGGTTTTGCAAAGAGAAGAGCAAATACTGAGTTTCCTCAATGTGCAGTTGTGCTTATGTCATCTTCAGATTGATGTGTGTGAAGATTAAGTGTGACTCCACCCGTCCCTTCTCTAGTTGTACTATTACAGCCGGACAGAAGAACAAAAAAAAAAACAGGAGAGTTAGAACAGATTACGTAATTGCCTGTTTGAAATGTCAAATTACGGCATCAATAAGCTATCCAAAGTAGTGTCTCACTCAGGACGCTGCTCCAAAATTCCTTTTTATCCAGATAGCCACTACAATCTACTATTGTGCAGCAGAAATGAAAGAAAGTATTGGTAATAGATCAGATGATGAAGTAAGGAGGGCGAGGAGAGTGCAGAATGTCCTGTTCTGTCCCAACCCGGAGCCTTTTTTCACTGACTCCGGGCGGCCGTGAGTGATCTGAAATAAAGACGACCTGCACTTGACCCGACAGCAGCGACACATGAGCCGCTCATAAAAACTATTAAAATACTTAAAACATACTCACAAAGGACTAGAAAAGCCAGATGGTTAAGGTTAGCACTTCCTTATTCCAAAAAAAAAGAAACAGTCAATGAAAAGGATCTGGCTGTGTCACTTGTTTATATTGGAGTTCAGCATGACTAAAGAGTCCATAATGGGAGGAAAGTGTGAAGCAACAATGATGTTATTTTCACTGACAAAGTGAGCTAAACCACAGCATATACTGTGGCTCAATAACCAACATTGATTATATTTTTGCTTAAGTATAAATATAGGGATTCTTGTGCAGTATTGTTTTCAATAATTATGAGTTTATTTCTGCTCATTTGGATTCCATTCTATGTCTTCTTGTTTCAGTTCCATCCAGATGATATCCCTTTTATTGAAATGTCCAGGGGTCCAGACTGGCCAACCCTGGTGCCATCCCATAATTGTGATTTGATATCTGTAGTCAGAGGCAGGCCTTGTATTAAAACCTACTTATTGGGAGACATTGGTTTAGCAGTTGGTAAAGCAGACCTTTAATATACAAAGGTTACTGGTTTGACTCCTGGCCTTGACCCTTCAATGCATGTCTACCTCACTGACCTTACGTTCCCTGCCTCACTTTAGCTGTCCTCATTTTTTTTATACAAAAATGATAACGATGAACTTTGTTAACTTCAGTAAACTTCAGTTAATATAGTTGATCTTCATACTGTTTATGTTTCTGGAGCTTTTTGACCACTTCAAGCCTTTCACTCTTCATGTACCTTGGCAGTTTGCCAGAAAACTCTACCTACCCTGCTCCCCCATTTACAAATTGATACACATGAATGTAGTATCTTTATGATACCTTAATGTGTGTTTGACAGTAAGTGGAAATAGAAATAGTAAATAAATGCTATTGATGCAAAAGTTAAAGCCAAAAGTTGGGCCACCCAGGCTAAAATGTCTGGACATGCCCCTGAATGTACAAACAGGAAACCTTTTGATTATCGTTTTTATATTTCTCTATAACCACAGAGACACTAATCATCAGTTGATTTAACCCCTCTCTATGTTGTTTGTTGTCAGTCTTTGGAATAAAACCTTTTTTGTTTTGTTATCTCATTTATTTCTTTATCTTATATTATCTGCATTTGTATCTACGATTGATAAAAAGGGACAGAGGTCTTGCCGGGTGCCAGGAGTATCTGGCTAACTTTTATATTCTCTATTTTCCTTGGCTTCATAGAAGTGCTACCAAGCACCAAAAAAAACAGTACAAAGCCAAAGACGACCGATCTTTCCACAGCATCACCGGGGTCGTGCTGGTTCAGGGAGATTGCCTGACAGACTAGTTTTCACTTTGACAATCCTTTTAGGACGAGCTACGCTTTTCCTTCAACAAATGCTTAGAATGGTTTCCAAAATGGAAAGGTTGTTCCCTTTTTTTCCCCACAAAGAAATGCACTACACAAAGACATTTTAAAATTGACGGTATTTTCCAACTGTCAAGGAGAAATGTCAATACTTGAAGAATTCTGTGCACTTCATGGCTGTGTGTGGACTGTTAAAGACAGTCCTAGAGGGTCTATCTCTATCATCAGAATGGTGTTATCATCTCTTTGAGGAACGCCTTCTCCTTATGGATTCTCATCATTTGATGTGACACACACTCATCTCTCCAGGAGATGTGTGTGACTATATACATTATGTATACTGTATGTGCACATTCGTTAACTCTGTGCTTTATGTCTAAGTGTGTGGGTATGCAACCATGCACGTACACACAGGTTGCTCTCTGTGTGTGGCATCTCCTAATTGGGGATCCAATGCAGCTGTCTGGTCTCTTGCATGTCCCTCATTTTCTTCTCCCTCTGACAGTTCGACTCAGACAAACACAGAGGGGGACTGAGGGAGTGCTGTGCTTCAGAAGTCCTTGAATTCACTCTCCATATGTTGTTCAGGCTCTATAAAGAAATGAAGAGGTGGAGTGTTTCCATGATGAAAGGGGAAATGTGATGTGAATTCAGAAGATGATGGCTCAGTGTTACTGAAGCGTTAAGTTTATCCACTGAGAAGCTTTTCCATGAAGTTTAAAACAGTCACTCAAGTTGGTTAGGTAGTAGCATTCGGAATAAACTGCTCTATGAGCACACACTTGCAGCTATTTGTAGTTCTTTTCCCATCTCATCCTTATTTTCTTTTCATCTGATAGCATCGCAGAGCGGGCTCGAGTGTGAACTTTTGCCACAAAGATTTATGTCGGACCAAATAGCCGAGTATATCTCTATTTCAGATACAATGGTGGGTAAATTGAGTTTAGATGAGTATAATCCCCAGTGCATCCCTGGCCATAACTCTTCAGAGAGTTCGATGCCCTCTCCATTTATGATCCAAAATATAGGATCTTTTTTTGTCAATATAATTACAGTGAAATTACCAGAGACAGCAGCAGAGTGTTGGCAAAAGAACCGCTGATCCAAAGATCCAGGTCATGCTGCAACTCAATAAACTCAATACAAGTTCATATGGGGAGAATGCTGCCTGCTTGTAGAGTGTGTGTCTGAAGGCATTCATTGGGCTGCACACAGATGAAAACACAACATATAGAGAATAGCTTTTTGAGATTTAGACGTTGCACGGCTCATATCTAGCAGTTCTTTTCAGTAGTTTTGACTCAAGGCTTGAATGGCAGATGATGTTGTCAAATAATGAAATGTACCGTAGCTACTCTAACACTAGTTATTTCTTTCATGGATATTTCTGGGGATTATATTTCAATCAAATGCGACAGAAAACATCACATCTGTGAGGAGCTTTTCAAATTTTAATGAGCCACTCTGCAGTTTTCAGGGCAAGATTTTGATACGGCCACTAATATATTGTGAAATCATTCAGTTTTTTTTTTTTATATATAGATAGATGGATAGATGGATGGATGGATGGATGGATGGATGGATGATAGATGGATAGATGGATGGATGGATAGATGGACAGACATACAGACAGACAGACAGACAGATAGATAGATAGATAGATAGATAGATAGATAGATAGATAGATAGATAGATAGATAAATAGATAGATAGATAGATAGATAGACAGATAGATAGATAGATAGATAGATAGATAGATAGATAGACAGATAGATAGACAGATAGATAGATAGATAGATAGATAGTTGGTGTAAGAGAGAGACAAGACGACAACAAGTGTGAGGGAACGCGAGCGAGCTGGAGATAAATTGCCCTTGTGCCAGTCTTTACATTCCACTCACGTTCGGCTCTGTCCCCAGACGTTAAAAGTGTGTCCATAGTTTGGGCGACCGGGGGAGTGATTGGAAATGTCAGCTGACAACAGCACTTTTCACTGACACTCCGAGAACTGGCACGGAGACAGAGAGGGGAGGAGGGGGGGGAAGCGAAGAGAGAAGAAGGGACGGAGGGAGGAAATGAGGAGCATGACAGAATGTGAGGGGAGAGGATGGAGCTGGTGGGCGGCTGGGCAGGGAGAAAAAAAAGCTATGCTTGGTAACAATGAGGAAGAGGATGACATTGATCTGAAATAGTGTGTGTGTGTGTGTGTGTGTGTGTGTGTGTGTGTGTGTGTGTGTCTGTGTCTGTGTGTCATTGTGAAGGACCCATCCTTCTGTTATTCATTGTAACTGTGTGCATGAATGAAAAGCCTATTTGTGTGCGTTTGTGCACGTGTGTCGTGTCAGTGAGTGACAGGAAACTGCCACTCAATCTATTTCCTGAAAGCCACAGAGAGTTGGAAACCCAAGGCTAAGACTGCTGCCCAACAGCACACACACACACACACACACACACACACAGACCCCCTCCCCTGCTGACCTTTCCTAAATGTTACTGGGCACTTGGCACACTGACGGGGCGTCTAATGAAACTTTTATTGGCCCCCATTTTTCACCCTGCTTTTCCAGAACGCCTCCAGGGCTGAGCTGAAATACAACAGGCTTGAACTGCAGCTGACACGCAGGAGGGCAAGGTACGTCGGATGAGTGAGTGTGTGTATTTGTTCACAGAGTGTGTTACAGTCTTCACATTCTATTCTCATCTGCTTTTTAATCCAAAATCAATGACATCGTTTACAAAATGCTCATGCGATCATTTAAAGTCCGATCTCGCACAATATTTAGCTCAGTATATCTTTCCCTTATTCTATTCGATAAGATCAGGTAATAACTTAAGGTAAACGAGATCCTCTCTGTGAGAGCTGCTTATTCTTTGCATTAGTCTTTGCTGTCTGTCTCTTTCTTAGCTATAGGATGACTGTGACTGAAATGGGCAGGATCTTTAAGCATGACAGCATACTGGACTGGACAGCATATATGCAAAACGCCTAAAGTAGTGTTAAACAATAGTCCTGGTAAGCACATCATTCACTTTTACCTGTAAACAAACTGTTTATTTGTTTCACTCTGGGTTCAAACAAACACAAAGAAGCAATCTCATGTATAACACATCTACAATTATATGATTATAAGCCTTTGCCTGCTTCCATTGCTCAATAAAGTGTTACTTAAATGCAATTACATTTCTATTCAGCATTTTTTACAACTACAATTATGCAATTTGTGAAATGACAGGCAATGCTGTAAATTATTGTCATGCTTTAAACTAGAATGAGCTCAAACTGTAATCATATTTGTTAAAGATTAAGGGCCTGTGTACTCTGATTTACAAAAGAGATGTGTGTGTCTGTCCCTGTGCAGCATGTGTGCGTAGATGACCCGGTCCAGAAGGGAGCGGATGGGTTGGGCCCAGCTGGGTCATGTTTTTTCCTCTGAGGAAGCACAAGGGAGGAACACAGAGGTCAAGAGCAAACTGTTGATGCTCATTATATACTGCTGTTGGACTCACACGAAAACTAATTACAACAAGCTGAGAGATGAACAGAGCAAACTGAGCTTAGCCATACTCTGAAGGATGCATCTGCAGAGTGAGAGCAGAGTCAGACTGAGCTGTAAAAAAGCAAAAGGGTAGAACTTACGGCTGGCAGAGTTTGATGAGGTCCTGGTCTGTTGTGGCAGGCGGCAGGCCTCTGATGTACAGGTTGGTCTTACTAAGCTGCTCCATTAACCCTCCTCCATGACCTCCTCCACCACCACCTCCACCACCTCCTCCTCCAGTGGTGCCAGGGCTGGGCGGAGCCATGGGCGGAGGGGGAGGAGCATAGGACTGCTGGAGAGATAGGAGAGAAAAAGAAAGTAAAAGGTCACTTGAGGTCACTCCATGAAAAATACACATTTATTCATCTCAAATAATCTCTTCCTGCATCAAGTCCCCACAATAACATCTTAATTCAATGGGAAGCACATTAAATCAAGGAAGCAGGATATGTGTAATTAGTGCACATTATGATCAATCAGGCTTTCAGGTGTTACTGCAGGTGCTTCTATCGACAGCAATAACTGCATCAGCTTTACATGTGCGACCATTCACAAACACATCTTACACTGATGGCAGAGGGTATGCAGTACCAACATGAACTAATCAAATCATTCACACATGTCCTTTTGGAGAATCTGGGGATTTGGGAAGCTCTTATTTTGCATCTGATTGTGGAGATGAGTTGTCCTAATCTCCACTCTCTGCTGCGCTGTGCACTCTCATCCTGACAGAGATCAAATCTGTTCACATGCAGATGATGAGCTGGATAGGGAGGGGGACAATTTTTTACCAGTTTATTGTGTTGTGTCGACAGATGTTATACAATGTACACCTTTGTAACAAAGCTTCCTGACTTGAGAGAGTGCAAGAGCAGCTAGTCACGATAAAGAAAACCCCATCCCCATCCTTCACCACGAATTTACAAAGTGTGTGCGCATGAGCTGGTGTTTCACCTGGGACAACCTCGGACTGATTCAAGCCCTAGTTGTGATAAAAAAGTAACGTCAAGTTCATATTTAAAGACAAATTATTTGAAGGTCATACAAAGGTATTCAGCCCAGTTGTGACTTCAGTCAGTTTCAGACAATTCAGTAAGGTGCCATTATCATTATCATGACTGAAATGACCTGCAGTTTGTTATGCATTTAGAGATGTGTTTTGAATCCAATGATGCTTTCTCACAAACATCGAGAGGCATTCAGTTTCAAGATACATTCTCTTAATACCAGTGATCTTCCCACTGCCATCTATGTCTTAAACCACACTACACTGTGGGGGTCATAAAGCTGCACTTTCAGACGTTTCTGTGAAGAGCCTCGCAGGCCATTTAATGTTTAATCCATGCCTTGGCCAGTTATTTCCCCTAACTTACCCAAACGTTTCCTTTCAGCCTGTGCTGTCCAATTACACAGCTCAATGCTGACTTAATGACTTAATAAGATGACCATTTCTGGCGGGGGGGGGGGGGGGGAGGCAGTGTGAGGATTAATGAGTGTTTGGAGCCGATGGGTTTCAGAGAGTAAACCAACCCCTGCCTGCATGCTGCCTTACTGTCAAACTATTAGGTTAAGTTTGGAGGAAGTAAACAAGCCAGATGGCAGTGTTCAAAACATTGTCTGCTATCTTGATGTTTGGAGCAAAACAGCTACAAAGAAATCTGGTCTCAGCATCAGTCCCGCTGCAGGGAACTGATTGGAACAAGTTCAAGACCCTACTGCAGTTTGAGATGATCACAGGCCTTTCTCACTGTGTTCCACAATGACCACAGAGAGAGAGAGAGAGAGAGAGCGAGAGAGAGAGAGAGAGAGAGAGAGAGAGAGAGTGAGAGAGAGAGAGAGAGAGAGACAGACAGACAGACAGACAGGTGAGACAGGTAGCGCATGTGCTTGGATGTATACTGTATTTAGCCGATGTTAGTGCATGTGTGTACACAAACACTAGAAAGCGTGTGTGAGCCTGTGCTTCGGAGCCAGTGTTTGCGATAATGACAGGTTGTCACCACACAGCAATGCCGAGCCGCAGCCAGCTCTGATATTAATCCATTACCTGTACTTCCCTCCACTGGCAGACAATTCCTGACACACACACACACACACACACACACACACACACACACAGATACACACGCAGATACACACACACGCATGCAACCACACTGACAGCTGAGAGAGACAGTGCTAACAGGATTCAGCACATACACAGCAGACATGTAGCAGTAAAAGGAGCAGTGCCTGTGGAGTAGTGTCATTTACAGGCGAGTGCCTAACACTAACAGCTCAGAAAGAGCCCACACACTTCAATAAAAACATGACAAAGTACAGAGATAAAAAAGGATACACTTGGTAATACTTCATAATAACGGCTATGATGAATACTGTTCTACATTGGAAGTGTCTCCTAAACCTGTACAGTCGCATTGAGGTATTTTCCCCAAAAATATCTCCCCTTTATTTTTTATTTTTTTAACAATTACATGATGAAAAAGATGTGTACATCTCAAAAGCTCAAACAGATGTAATTACAAAATAATGCTTTATGCAATCAACAAGAAAGAAATAAGCAACCATTTTGATCATTAATGAATTAAAACTGTAAAACTTTGTGTTGCTTGTTACTGGAGGGCACATCAGATAGCTCAACATAACAACGTAGTTAGTGGTGAAACGGATCCCAGCTAATCCGTGATCCGTTTGGTTCAGCCCTGACGGTTCAGGCCGCATGTGATCACAGATCAATTAAAAATGTATCCTCATGGTGTAATATAATTAGTATTGCAGCTAAATCCCTGTGCAACACACAACGTTACCATCGGCTGAGTCTGTAGCTATAAACCTAAACAAACAAACTGCTCCGTGAAGGATCAGAAAGTTACTGACATGATAACTTTCCAGAGTTTCGTTCTGATTCCTGCCAGGTTACTCCAATAATAATTAATAATAACTAATAGTTACGAAGTGCTGCCTTGCTCAAGATGCTAGTTGATGTGTAAAAAACAACACTTTCCTAAAATTGTATTAAGTGAAACAATTGTATTATAAATGCACAGTATAGTTTTGTAATAAATAGGTTTTGTATAATACAAGGCCCGGGGAATAAAATGATGGCGATAATTATCGCAATATGTTTCTCTATATAAATATAACAAATGTTTGATACATTTACATGTATAATTACACCAGAAGACATGTGAGACTAAAAAGAGCAACACCACAAACCTTTTACCAATGTTTGAAACAATATCACCTGCTAGACCACAGCGACGAAAAGAAATGACCAAACGTCCCAAACAAGTGTTAGTGGACCCTCAGCAAGCAGCATGACATTAACTGTTACTGCCCAGCAGCGTTTTCCAGCACCGTGCACCGGGCTTATGATACTAAAATGTTCCTCTGTTCAAGTAGAGTGTGTCATCTTCTAAAAATAAAGAATGGTAAACCATAATTCACCATGTGTTTTTTTTTTCAACTTTCATTGAGGAGCAAAAATCAGCCTTTAAATTTGAACAATACAATGATTTGACTTTTTTTGATAATTATCGATATCAACTTACATTTTTTATTGTGATAATATTTTTTTTGTTGTGATAACAGCCCTAGTTACAGAGGGAAAAAATTGGGGAAAGCATAAAAATCTAGACTCCTCTAGAAAACCAACTGTGTCAACTTGTGCATGGCAGGCTAACCATCAAGCACATCCAATGAATACACACACAAAAAAATATACAGACAGACAGTATTTATTCACGTACACGCTGTTAACATTATCCATGTGCCTTCATCTCATTCCACCATGATTCGGAGCAGAAAACAGCCTTTCTTCCCCCTCTGACACTCACACAAACACACTCAGATGCCCAGGTATGCACATACACAAAACCTCTCTCTAGCAGACACAACACACACACACACACACACACACACACACACACACACGCATGCACACACCTGATCAAAGGCCTGGCCCAGGAAACCTCTTTCAGCCAATTTGTGCAGCTGTCAGGGTCGGGCTGATAGTGAGCTGTGTATGTAACGTGTCAGAGACTGTGATAGGGAAACCCTTTGAAACATTAAAATCTCTGTCTCTCTTTGGCAACCACGCTTTCTCCTCACTTCCCCCTCTCGCTCACTGTCAAATTCGACTCCTCCATCGCTCAATCTCTCGCTCTTTTCACCTCTATCCCTCCACTTCCCACATTCTCGCTCTGTTATTCTCCCTCCCTCCCTCTCTCTCTCTCTCTCTCTCCTCTCTTTCTCCTAGTCTGTCTTTTTTAAGGATTACTGTGCAGTTGGAGTGTGTGGACTGAAGGCTGCCTCTCTGCTGGTATTGTTGACACACTTAGTACAGTGGAGCAGCTCTCGCAGTGGGAGAAAGGCTCAGAGGCAGCGACACAAACTGTCACACAAAGTAAACACAGTTAACGTGTTGTTTGTAGATTTCATGCACGGCTGAGCCTGTGAACAGCAGACAACCCTGAAACACTTCTGCAAGGTGTCATATATGGGAATACTGCTGACTACCTGATGAGCATATCTTGGAGTAGGTCGAGAATCGCAGAGACAACTCCAAACCGAAGAATACAATTCAAGTTTCTTATTTTCTAGACACTGTATGAAATGTATAAAGCAAAGCTATGAAAATGTTATAGTGCAACAAACAAAGATGCAGCGATAACAAAAAACAACAACAAAACAAGTGAAATAGGTCTGTTGGCTGCTGAAGGGTATACATGGAATATGTTTGCATATTATTGACCTTAAAGCTAAATATTTTATGGGTTAGGGGTTAGATGATCACACAGAAGTGTTACATGTATGCCAAGTTAAATTGAACCTGTTCTGGCCTTATATACAACATTTTATGTCTCTTACTCCAACAAATATTAAATAGCTTTTCATTTTCTTTCTACACTAACTGACGAGCCAACCGCTAATTGGTTAGCAAACAAGAAACATCCGCGGTCAGTCACTTTCGTTCTATGAGCTGCTCTGTTTTCTCTAAAGTGTGCCATTTACTGATCTTGTGTTATTGACCATGATTTTGTTGTGAGTCAAAAAAAGAGAGTTCAAAAACAGCAAGCATGCTGTCAATTAATAAGTTAATTAGCTGGGTCATTGTGGGAATGTTTTACACATAAAAAAAATAACTTTGTGGTGAATTTTTCCCTCCAACAGAGGATTTTAAGATGATGGCGCAACATAGTTAATAAGCCCTTACAGGTTCCTCCACTGGTTTTTTTAATATGTCGTTCCTTCAACGGTCAACATTGTCAATATTGTTGATATTGGTCAAAG